CCCCCAGGTGTGTCCCCCCAGGTGTGTCCCCCAGGCTGCCTTACCTGTGCTCACTGCCTGCCAGCCCACCGAGAAGGGCGTGCGCGCCTGCACCACGTACATGGTGATGGGGCTGTGGTTGTCTGCCCCCGGCCTCCAGGACAGCTGGGCCGTGCTGTCTGTCACCTCCTCGATGGTCACGGCCTCGGGGGGGCCCGGGGGACCTGGGGGAGCAGGAGAATCCGTGACAGGAGGAGGAAGAGCCGGGTTCACCTTCCCGAGGGACTGGGGGAGCCAGCGCTGGGTTAACGGTCCCCTCCAGTATCAGAATCTCTGCTGGTCACAGTGACCCTGAGATATGTACAAGCTTTTTTTTTTTCCCAGCCTGGCTGTCAAAGAAGGAGTCAGGATTTTTCTGTTCTCATTCTTAAGGTTGTTAATTGTTTTTTATCTATCACATTCTTTCTCTGACCCGCTGAGGTCTGTCTGGCAGGTCAGGTTCAGGCACTCTGCCTGCCCTCATGGTGCTATCTTTTTATACTCAAAACTATGTGTACATTATTTACCATAACTTCCCAATACCTATCACCTATATTAGACAGTGAGTTTCTACTCTAAACCAATCTAAAAGGGCCAACATCACCCAGAACATGGAGGCTAGGAAGAAGAAAGAAGGACAAGGCACGCCCAAATCCATCCATCCCATGCCCCCATTCTAAAAACCTCAAAAATCTCTTTTTCACCCTGTGACAAACTAACTATTATTCTACTTAAATCCTACAACACCACCAACAACAGTAGCAAAATTCAAATACCTCTTACAATCAGGTCTGCAGCAGCTGAGAGCTTGTCCACACTTGTTTGCACCATGCAGACGTATTTCCCTGCGTGCTTCAGCTGGATGCTCCTGATCATCAAATCACCAGCTGAGTCCTGCTGATAAAGGAGGGAAAAGTGGTTACAATCACTCTTTAATGAGCCCTAAACATCATTATCACATGAAGGACACTGTGACTAATGGGCTTACTTTATGCTGGCTGATGAAAACATCAGCAGTACAAGCCATGGCCTGTTGAAAGGATGGGAGCCTGCCTGGAAGGTGGGAGAGGGAAAATCCCTAAAATTCTGGCTCCTCCAAGGAGCAGGGCTGGGGGCTGTTCAGCACTTTCCCCATCAAAACAACGTGACAATGCAGGACAGGTTCACTCTGATTGCTCCTTTTTCTCTCTGGATTTCCAATTTTTACCCTCTCTGCCATCCCAGGGCCCAGGTTGTGTCTCCATCCCTCCTGCAAGGGAAGCCCAGCCCAAATTTCCAAATCTGGAGAAAGCAGCAGTAGTTTCATGGCTTTGTGTCCCAGCCAGCAATTTGATTGCCCAGCACTTTTGTGCTGAAGATCACGAGAGCAGCGCTCTCTGAGGAAATCTTGCATCACACACCAGCAGTAATTTGTTTTCCAAACGCCAAGTGCAGGTCTGATTAACTGCTGAATACCACTAATTAGGTTTCTGGATGCAGTGGATGATGAGAACTTCTCTCAGTTTCTCTCCAGACACAAAGCATTTGATACATTGGAAATCTCAGGGAAACCTCGTGATTGTGGCCTTTAGACTGAGGAATATTAATCAAGTTTGTAATTTTAGCTCTGTGGGCACAACAGGAGCAGTCACCCCAAAAAGCCATGGCTGCTGCTGTGAGCCCTGTGTATCAATCTGAGTTCATCTTTTAATGATTTTTCTTTTTAAGGGATAAGAGCAAGGCTTGGAAATTGTATTTCCTTTTCCTTTCAGCATTAAATTTCACTCCTGACAATGCAAACATGAACTGTCACCATGCCTGAGACCTGTTGCTCTCAAAACCTCCCTCAGAGCAACATGCAAAACCCTTCCCAGTTTTCTACCTCTGCTGAAAATTTTCCATTTTTTCCCTCCTTTTTCTTGCTGCCTTCATCCAATTCCTTCTGTTAGCAGCCTTTTCTGCATGACCCACCTTGTCAGATTTGATGCTTACCCCTCCAACCTTTTCAAAGTGGTCCCCATCTTTGTCAAAGTCTATCAGGTGCCCGTTGAAGGACCAGGTGAACGCGATGTCCAGGGAGTGGTCGTGGGACACCTGGCAGGGCAGGACAATGCTTTCTCCAACTGTGACATCCATGCTGAAAGGGGACACCATGACCCGCGTTGGATCTGCAAACAACAAAGAAAGGGGGGAAAAAAAGGGATTATTCTCGTTCTCCTGAGGAGCAGAGGCATTGCAGGGCTGAGAGAGATCCTAAGCAGTGATCCCTTAAATCAACAAGTGAATTATTCCATCTTTGGGTTTATCCTTCCTCTAATTATTGGATTAAAAATAATAAACTTATTAAACCTTCCAGAATCCCCTTCCAGCCACCATCCTGATGAAGAAGGAGGAAAGAAAAGAGTGCAGCAGATCTGAAAGGCTCGATTACAACTTTTTATCAGAGATTCTCCTACTTGAATCTTCTCACTTCAAAGAGTTGCTTCACACATACACTGCTCACCATGGTTATCAAAAAGCTGTTCTGTTGTTCCTAAATTAAATGCAAAATCAGCAAAACTGGAACAAAAAATTTGTATTAAAACCAGGAGTTGTTAATCTGGCCGTACCTGGGAAGGCAGAGATCAGGCAGAGATTATTGTTGTTATATTCACTGAGAACTGGCCACGCTCTGAGGGATGGCTCCAATCTCACATCCCCATAAAGAATAAAGGAAAATGCTGAGTGATACCAACAGAACCTCCCACAGCACAGAAGCCAAACTTTGATGTGTGTCAGCAGGGGCATTTCAGGGTCTGAAGGAGAAGGGGGTGCCCAAACCAGGACATTTCCAAAGGGAAGCCCCAGACCTGGATGTGTGACTGTGACATAGCAGGGTCTGTGTCACACACAGGCAGCAGCTCCACCCTGTTCAGGACTAATCCCCTTCTCCCAGCTGGGGCTCCACAACTCCTCCAGCACTGCTTTAATTGTCTGTTTTTCACCCCAGTGTGAGCAGGGCTGGCACAGAAAGATGAGCCATGGCACATTATGCAGACTGCAGCTCCTCGTCTGTGCCCGTGAATTCCCTCTGCCTCTAAAGTTACCATTGCTCTTCCATTTCTGTTGACAAAAATGCAGCAATTTTTTCCACAGGGCCTCAGAGGAAATGAGAAGGAGAAAAAATATTGCTTAACAATGAGACCAAAAGTCTGAAAATCATACAGAGATAGGTATTTTTGCTTATTCCAAAAATCTACTCTGCACAGCTGTCATGCTAAAATAATACCAGCATTATTCAATCTCTGGTACATGACACCAAAATCTCAACAACTTCTTCCTGAGCCTATTGCCCAACTGCTTAATTCTCTGCTAAAATAATAAAGATACAGCAGCACAGATATGGACTGGGCAGAACTGCTCGCGGAAATCCAGGGGATGCAAAGCTGTTCCTGGATTTTCAGCCTTATCAAAAGTCTGCAGGAGGTGGGGAGAAAGATTTTGTTGCTGTCTAGAGAGATTTCAGATCGAGTCCTCAGGGACTTGGCTGTGTTATCTTGGACAAGTTTAATTTGTCTGTATTTTGTGTTCACTTCTGACCAAGCAGAGGAGCTCTTAGAACAACTGGTATGACAATTAATTTATCAATGAATTAACACATGAAATATTTCTCAGGTGTTTATAAACATGAAAGGAATGAAGAATATAAAGGCTATAAATATATAGATATATAATATGTAGAAGATATAATTTATATATAATTTTTATATTCATATATATAATGTATAATGTATAATATATAACACACAACATATATAATATATAATATATAATATATAATATATAATATATAATATATAATATATAATATATAATATATAATATATAATATATAATAGTAATGAGTTTTAGAATATAGAATAGATTTTAGAATATAGAATTCCGGTATGTAATTTGTATTCCAGAATTCTATGCAATTACATTTGTAGCATATATTAGATATAAATGTTAATTAAATATTAATTAAATATAATTAAATATTCTTTATGGAATATTTATATTCTAGGATATATTTAGAATATTATAGTTATAGTATTATATTATATTTATATTATAGTATTATATTTTACATATAATATTAGAATATTATAGGTTTATGTAGTTAGAACATTATAGGTTTATATAAACCTGCAATAGAGAGAACAGAATAGAAATATAGAAGTATAGAAATATAGAAATATAATTCTAATATTTATATAAATGATATCAAGAAATGTGTTTGCTGGAGGCCAGGGCAGCTCAGCACAGCTCCTGTAGGAACTGTGAGTGCCTGAAGCTTCCAAAACCACCTGCAGGTTTCAGGGAATCCTGGAATCATTCAGGTTGGAAAAGGTCATTTAAGGTCACCCAGTCCAAGCATTCCTCCCCACTGTCCCCTGTCCCACACGCACCCCTCAGTTAAATCCCCCTGGGCAGCTGCAGGAGCCTTTCCCTGGGGAATTCCTGCTGCCATCCCCCCTGAGCCCGGCCTGGAGCATCCCTGGGGTGGCACGGGCACAGCTGGATGTGACACTGGCAGGGACAGGCTGTAGGTGTCACTGAAGGCTCGGGAACAGCAGAGCCCCTTCCCTGCCTGCCTTCCCCAGCAGCGCTCTCAGAGGATGCTCTCTGTGGGACAGAGCTGACACTTCCCTGTTTTCTGTGGTTTTTCCAGAGGCTCCGAGCAGCCCGGCAGCTCCTGGGGGCTGGAGCAAACCCTGCTGGCCCCAGCCCAGCTCTGGGTGCACCAAGGTCACCCCAGCTCATGTCACCTCCTTCAGTCCCACCTGAATTCCCGATTTTCCTGCCTCACCTCCCTCGGCTCCCCCAGCAGCGCCAGAACTTGGGGTCTGTCTGGCTGATTCGTGGATTTGCTGTATCCTACAAGAGATTTTAAACAAGTTTTCTTTCTTGTTTAGAAAAAGGGAGCTGAGCATCACTTCCTGTCTGTGGGAAGGCTGTGATTGCTTCTCTTCTGTCCTTTATCAGCTGCCCATCATCAGCCACGGGTGCATCTCCTGATCCTTTTGGGATGCATTTTGGGATGTTGGGATGGATTTTGGGATGCATTTCCAGCTGCATCCCCAGGCTGCAGCACCAAGGGTAAGGCCTGGGGGTCACAATCTGTGAGGGAACCACCCCAATGGATGGGGTATCCATGGGGAGGGAGGATTTGTTTAGGGAAAGCAGCTCTGCTTGTCACATCCATCTGCAGATCCCCAGGATGTGACACGGGCTGCTGTGGCAGCACACGAGTGACACACACCTCAGCAGGGGATGACACTCACAGAGAATGCTTTTTTTTCCTTAAAAAATAGGTCAGAGCAGCTTTGGAATGAGGCCAGACGCGGTGTCAGCGATTGTGTGCCAGAACTGTCACAGCAGAATTCCCTCTGACCAGGGGGGTTTCCCAGGCCAGGTGGACTCAGAATCCCATTCCCAGTTTGGCTCAGCCCTGGGGATGGGTGAGGCACTCCAGGGGATGGATCCAGCCAGCCCTGCAGGTGAGAATATCCAACAACAGGTGAGAATATCCAATGGCAGGTGAGGATATCCAATGGCAGGTGAGGATATCCAATGGCAGGTGAGGATATCCAATGGCAGGTGAGGATTAGATAAGCAAAAGAGGAGGAAGAGTGCCAAATGAAGAGGAAGGTTGCTCCAGTGTGAGCACAGCCTTGGAGTAACTGGGAATAAAATGACTTTTCCTCCTCACTTTCTGTCTCACCTTGAGCAAGTCATAAAAGTCTCTGCTGCCTTATTTGCCCAGCTTATAAAATAAAATGGATCAGGCCTTCATTAGAAACAAGGGAGGATATCCAATTACAGGTGAAGATATCCAGTTACTGGTAAGGATATCCAGTTACAAGTGAGGATATCCAATACCAGGTGAGGATATCCAGTTTCAGGTGAGGATATCCAGTTTCAGGTGAGGATATCCAATACCAGGTGAGGATATCCAGTTTCAGGTGAGGATATCCAATACCAGGTGAGGACACCCAATGAGTGCTGAGCAGACAGAGGGACCTGCAGTGCCAGGAGGAGCACAGAGTGCCACACTCCAATAAAGGCTGAACTGGAACATGCTCAGGAGACGCAGCTCCTGTTGTTAAATTGGTGCAATTGAGCATTCAGAGGCAGATTAAACACAGAAGGGATAATGTCAGCATTTCCAAGGCTGGCTGCAGCTAACACCTAAATGCTTATTTAGACATCTAGCCCAGCACACAGGAGGAGGTCAAAGGAGAAGGAACAGAAGGGAATACTTGGATTTTCACATATTTATCCAGAACAAAAACCCTGAAAAAATCAAAACTCCCCTCCACAGCCCCCAAATTAGCAGTTCTCTCAAACTGTCTTACTTCTAAAGGAAATTTTCCAAAGACTTACTCCTCTCTTTCTTCTTCCAGCCTTGCCTTCATTCCATGCTGCTGGGAAGTGAATGGGAATGTCGTACAAGATCCTACAGAATCATGGCATAGTAAAGGTTGTAAAAGGCTCCAAGATCATTAAACTGATCACATTCCAAACTTCAGCCTGCTCTGAGGTCTGCAGCCTCTGTCCCTCTCCCATTCCCTCTTCTGCCTGAGCAGGGAAGGTCTGTTGGAAATACTCCTGACTGCTGATATTCCTTATGAGGATCTGGGCTGATAAGCAACAAATTCCACTTTGATTAACCAGCTAATTACCTAATTCTCTCAGACTAGTGTTACAGTGTTAAAGATCCAGATATATTCTCCTTATCTGCATAAACCATTTCCTGTACAAGATTTTAAGATGTGTTTTTCTTGTAGATGAACTCTAACTTGAGCATTTGGGACTCATTTTCCTTTTTTTTTTTTTTGAACACCAGCACGTTCACCAATTCCATTTTGGCTTTTATCAGCAGGAGTTAATAAATGCATCTCAGATCAATGTCCTCTATTTGCAATGACATTTTACATTATTGTATTGATTCCAAGGCACATCATGTCTGGAGATAATAAAAATCAATCCTGGAGGATGTGGTTTCTATGAGCAACCAAAGAATCAAAGTCCAATACATGAAAATACTCAAATTTGCTCTATTTTCTGTTTCTTTCTGTTTGTGAATGAAATACTTATCCAGGACCATAAGGCCAAAAGCCTCTGAGACCTGACTGGTGAAACT